TCAGAAGAGGCAGAAGTGGATGTGAGAGAAAGAGAGACACAGAGAGACAGAGAGCCAAAGAGGGCAAGAGACTTGACTTTAAGAGACTCCTGTACTGACAACTCCATGCAGTTCGGAACCAGAACGACTACAGCTGAACCAGGGTTCATGGGGACATGGCAAAACGCTGACACTAACCTCTTATTCAGAATGTCCCAACAGGTAAGTTTCTTTCTTTCTTTCCTTTTTTTTTTTTTTAAAGAAAACTTGAATTGTTATATAGACTTCTGTTTCTGTTATTTTTCTTTCTAACATTTTAAAAAATTTGGTCACTTCATCGTTAGGCTCTGTTTTGTCCTAACTGTGGTGTTGGAATGTGCAGGGTTACTTACTTCATGGTTTCCCTGAGGGCTCCTTAAAAGAAAAAGGGGAAAGGATACTGAAGTAAAAGAAAGCAAAGGCATTCGTTGCAAAGTTTCACAGGATAGCCTGGGTCAGGGGAGGACTTTATTTCTTGGTTTTCTGTTTAAAATTAAAAAGGAAAACAAAAGCCACCGTCCAAAAAAATGTATCGTTCTGTCTGTGCTGATCACTTCGTCGAAGTGTCTGCTATCGCAGAGTAGGTTCTCCAACCTAGCAGCCATAAAACGTAGGGGCCCCTCTGCACAGCCCCGCCGACTCCACGGGGCTGGAAGCAGCTCGACTCCTACCTGCGGAGAGGAGGCCGTGCAGGAATCGCTGCCAGCGCCGAGGGTCGCGGCGGCGGCGGCGGCGGCGGCGGCGGCGGCGTGCGTGGCGGGCCGTGCCGGCGGGTCCCAGTTCCTCCGCACCGGCCCCGGCTGCCTGCCCGCCCGCCCGGCCGCCCACCCACCTCCGCGCTCGCCCCTGCGCTCCCCGCCGGCGCCGGCTGGGCTCCCGCACATTCGCCAGCCCGAGCGCCGGGCCGCCCGCCTGCTCGCCCGCTGGCCAGCGCACTCACACTCGGGCGCAGCGGCGGCGTCCTCCCCAGTCCTCCCCAAAGCCGCTGCTCCGTCCGGGCCGCGCTGCGGGCGGCTGGGTGTGCTGGCTCTGCCGGGAGAGCCGACGTGTTAGTGCGCGGCCGGCGGCAACTGATAATTAATCACGGGAGCCGGCGGCTCGTACCACGCGCTTGGTGATACGCGCCCTGCACGCCGGGCTCCTCTTGCACAATTGCTGGCTCTGCGGCTCCGAGGGGGAGCGAGGGTGAGAGGAAGCGAAGGGAAACAACCCAGAAACTTTCATCTTGGACTGTGCTCAAGCGAGGGAGGGAAGTTCCCTGGTGCCTCCCTCCTAGACACGTCTTGCTGTTCAAAAGCCTACACCAAACCCACACAAAGCAAGAGTTAGCGTGATAGTATCATCCACACAGCACGAAAGTATTACTGGCAAATACAGTTGGATTTTAAGTGGATGGTAGTTGTTAAGAAATTGGTGCTGTTCCACTCATTGAAAAAAATATTGCAATTGACTTCTTTTTCTAAAACCTGTTTTGCTTGTAAGAGTTCATGAGCATTAAATACTTCATTGAGTTAATTAGATTTTTTTAAAGTATTGGTAATGAAAGGAGGAAAGATTTGGTAGTCTGTAAACTACCAGAAGTTTAGAGGTACGTCTGCAGAAGCCGGTGCACAGAGCCAGGGTTTTGTAGCATTTAGCTAGTGAACAGTTTTATCACGCCGTTCTAGATAGGATAAATGCATTTGAATAAGGTGTATTTTGACATATCCTGTAGAGGGACCCTGATTACTGCTGATACAGTAAGCTGGGATTTAAACGCAATCAACATAAACCCAATAAGCAACTCTTTATGAGCTATTTCCCATTCTTGCAAGTTAAAAAGTTCATTCCCTCCCAGAGATACTCCTTGTCACTGTAGAGTGCCAATTTGAGAGGTGTGTTTCTGAGGCACATCCCTGCCTGGGTGGCTCTCTCTCCGTGCTTGTAACACAGAGTGTGTTTTCACTCACTGTAGGGCCATGCAACTTGTGCCGCACTTTAAAAATTGGATGTCACATTTAGGGTTTTCCTTGAGTTAGGGAAGGTCAGGTGTGTGTGAGTGTGTATGTGTGTATGTGAAGGGAAGATTGCTTTAGGTCTCCCTCTAGCTAGAAAAGAGTTAATAAAACCAGATAGAGATAATGATCAATTGATAAATGGCTATTGAACCACATAGATGGTGTTAGATTGCTTCTTTGGCACTAGCCCATTTCCAAGTAGATTTGAATCTAAGGAGACTTTAAGTCATGGAAAACATTTTAGCTAAAAAACAAATAAAAGTAAATGATATAAATGATTGATCAGAATTAGGAAAATAATTTGAAGTCACTCAGAGAGAAAAACTCGTACAACTAAGCTAATATGATATCTTTGATCCAGTTGTTTGACTTCGTGGATATATAAAGATCTATTTTGTCTCTACCTGTGTGCATGCATGTGTCTTAGAATCAGTCGACTATATGAAAAGAGTAGATACACAAGGAGGTAATTTATGCATAACGGATGCTACATAAAACTACGTAGTATTATGCCAGTTACTAAACAGAGTAGTAAAATGGAGAAAATCACAATTTTAAAACGTGTTGTAATTTAATTGTATATATATATTTTTTAGTTTTTGGTTTTAATGGAGTTAGTCCCTCCCCTCCCCCCTTTTTTTCTGTTGTGGTTACTATATGTTTACCTCCTGTGCATTTTTGGAAAACATGTAAGGAGTGTATGAGTGTATTTTTTTTTCTTCTTCAGGATGATATTTTAGTTTGTATAAATATTATGTAAACAAATTCAGACTGTGTAAATCTAAAAATATATGTGCTGTACACGTTATTAAAATATGTTTATTTTCTTTACCTATAGTTCATCAGCAATGTTGATTCAGGGAGTGTGTATGTGTGTGTGTGTGTGTGTGCTTGTGTGCTTGTGCACTCAGGAAAGACACTTTTCTTGAAATGATTTTCTTGAAGCCAACAGTTTCAAGGAATACTAGTTTCTATATACACATTGAAGCCAGCTTTTGTTTTACTACAGGTAAAAGTTTGTCCAGTTTAATCAGATATGCAGAATTCTGTATGAAGAGGTTTTTCTGTGTTATGATAATTTTAATTTCTAAGAAAAAATTGATTTAACACTTGAATAGAATTGATTGGATCTATTTTCTTATTTCAAAGTTTTCTATAATAATATAAACACTCTTAAGTTTTACCAGATCATTTCTTTAAATATTAGAAAAGACTGACTAGCAGGTTTCAAACTGAGTTACAGGGAATTAACCACCAGTATTATTTAAGTACAGCAAAACTTGTAGAAATAGCTCATGAATACTGAAATTTAATAATCTAGATTTGTGTCTTCTACAGGTAAATTAAGCAGTAGGGATATAAAACTCTTTGTCTTTTGTATGAGCAAAGTTCGATCTGCTTATATGTAAGTCTGTCAGTCTATCTAACACTAACAAAAAGACATCACAAACTGAAGCCAATTTAGATTTGATAGAATTAAGTATGTATCCCTTACATTCAAGATATGATAATTTTACTACATTTTCCTGCCTTTCTACAACTTTCCCATGTTTAAGATTTTTCAAAAAGGGTAGTTTTTTTTTCATCAGACAAATATTTGATAACCTTAAAGGGCATGACTCTTGACTTCTGTAAAGGAAGTTCTTTTTTGAGTTACTTTGATCAGTGACAGGTCGAGAATGACCAGAAACCCTTTGCTCATCTTCTGTGTTAATCTCCTAGAGTCTAGAACATTATTTTGCCCATTTTAACCTCATTAAGCATTGTTAAAAGCAGAAAATAAGGCCTGCTTTGGGAAGCTTTTTTTCTTTTTTCTTAATCAGGTTTTAAAAGGTGATTTTTCTATTTTTGCAAATATTTTGTGCATTTGAGAGAATCTCAAATAAAATTCTTTGTAGCTACTTCAAGGGATGCAATAGTCTAATATATTTTGAAATCCTTTCACACATGAAACCGTAACAGGGAAATGGCTTCAGCCCATGTTTTACACATTATTAGAGACATTTACCTTTTATTATTGGTGAGGTATATTTAACCTGTTTCAAATAAAATGTAGATCGCTTAATAAGGTCTCTTTTCAGACACAAGTGAAATACTAAGTTAGAATTATAAATGACTCTGTGCATCATTATGTAGTAATTTAGGATTCACCCAATGATGTAACAAAATTAACAACATAATTTCATTGTGAAACTGTGTTTTATTAAAGAACAACTGTCTGACATTCTCTTACAGTTGCTTTATTTAACTTCATGCAAATATTATTAGTAGTGACATTTTTCTATTGTGCATTAGATTCTCTCATTAGCATGATGTGTTAGTTATCACCAGAGAAATCATTTCTTAGGTAGGTGAGGGGCAAACCAAGAAAGCTAAAAATTAAATCAACGATTTACATTAATACTAGAGCGTCTGCTCACCAGAGATATGACAGAGTAAAGCAAACTTTCTAATATAAAATCTAGCACATTTCAGAGAAATGATAAATAAAATATATTGTAAGAAATAAATAATAACATTGCTGGAATCCATTTAAAAGCATGTTTGATATGAATTTTTCTCCCAGTACTCTTTTAGTTCTTTCTATTCATATAGGCAAACACAGTTTCAGTTTTTGGAATCTATATTTTAAAGTGGAAATGGTGGTTTTGTCTGATTTCCTACCTCCCCCCCCAAATAATTTAAATGTTTATTCACTAAAGTTTAAAAGGCACATATAGTTTTTCTTTTAAGTCAGATGCCTAATTGCATATTGTGGTTTGATTCTTCTTTATTGTTTGTACATTTTTATTCTAAACTCTATCCCACTCATGTAGACATCCCTTTTAACATGGGATGTATATTCTTATTTAATCAGAGCCCAGAGTAAAGCAGTTGCTAGTTAATGGTCTTTGAAAATGACTTTCATTGCCAGGCATCATCCATCCCTAGGTTTCTGCACTTTTCCCTCCCTTTTTACTCCCCTTCTTACAGTTGGTGTGTTTTGGTAATCATGTCTTAAATTGACCAAACTTATGGTCTTAATGTGAAAATATTTATATTAGGAAGCATGTAATTTCAGCCTGTTGAATTACTAGGCTGCTACCTCCAATTTAAGTTCCCTTCTCTAATTTGAATGATAATATGTTTTATTTTGAAGTTTAACTATAGACATATATCCAGATGTAATTCTTAACATCCATTGTG